CAGGTAAATATACTGCAGATGAAGTCATGCAAGTTATTTCATAACTTCAAAGCATCAGCTGTTTTCAGTGGATGCCTTTTTTTTTTTTTTTTTTTACAGGATGAAGAAAAAACGAAAGAGATCAGTCTCTTCCTCTTCTTCTTCTTCCTCCACTTCCTCCAAGAGCTCCTCTTCTTCTTCATTGTCTTCCTCCTCACGCAGGAAGTCCAAGAAGAAGAAAAAGAAAAGGAGGCGATCTGAGCGAGGTAGTAAGCGCCATCGCAGGATCTCCTCAAGCAGGAAGAGTGAAGAGGGTAAGAGTGAGAAAGACAGAAAGGAGAAAGTGGAGGACGAGCTGGAGTGGTATCCCGCTCCTCCCAACACCTCCGCCACCTTTCTCAACCAGAAGGGAGGCCCGAGGTTTGGAGAGAGGGATGAGGAGGAGGTAGTGGAAAAGGATGCTGAAGAAAGACGAATCAGTCAGCTTTATTCTTTGTCAGCAGCTTCAGAAGACGAAGAGTCTGACTCCTCATGCAGAGAGAAGAAAAGAAGGGAAAGGGAAGAGAGCAGGACAAGAGGAAGGAAAAACAGTCAGAGTAGAAGCCTGGAAAGAGAGGAGAGAGGGAGCAGGAGTAGAGAAAGGAGGGATAGGAGCAGGGAGAGAGGGAAGGAGGATAATAGGAAAGACAGGAGAGGCAGTGAGTCCAGGAGGAGAAGCAGCTTAGACGAGAACAGAAAGAGAAAGGTGTCCTGCTCTTCTGCCGAATCTGACTATTCACGAAAATCCAGTTCCAGATCTGAATATTTGGGGAACTCGGGTTCTGCGTACAAACATTTGGAGAGCAGAATGAGACATGACTCTTCCAGAAGGAACTCCTTGGATGGTGTTAGGTGTGAAAACAGAGGGCGGGGAGACATTCGGGAGGTAGAGGAGGCAAAGAGAGAGAAGGACAGCAGAAAGGGGAGAGAGGACGAGAGCAACAGGTCAGATGGAGGAAACAGCAGAAAATCAGAAGGGGCTGGAAATAATAATAACAAACAGAATAGTTTGACCCCAGTACCTGGTGGAGGGCCTAAAAAAGATCTCCCTTCCAACCTGCTAGATATTTTCAATCAGATTGCCCAGTTTGAGAAGGAGAAAGGAGTCAGGCCAAAATAACAACTCCAAACCAAAAGTCCAGAAGACTGTGAAATGGATGTTTGTATCATGAATTCATTCATTCTGGACTGTGCATCAAGCAAACACTGCTGAAGGAATGGCCAAATGTGTTGTTGATTGAATGTCCCCAGTTGTTGTCAGTTACTTTAGATTTAGTGAAAACATCCAAGTCATTTTATTTGAAATGGCTTTGTCCTTATGGTGGATTTAAGGCCTGTGAGAACCTGTTGTGGTCAGAATGTGCACCTGAATAGCTTGATACTGTAGTTTAATACTTAACTCTAACTGGTTGCTGTAAGCCAAGTAAAGAGAGGGACATTTTCCACTTACTGAAGTCAATATTATTTGCCATCTGTGATCATTTCCCCATTTAGAGGTTAATGTTTGTGTACATTTTGAGATTATATTACGTTACTCAGCACATCTGATGTCACATCAGTTGCCACAGGCTTTAATATCTCATTGTGTGTTCATCTTAAGTTGAGACTTTTATCTGTTAAAGGAGATACTGCCTTATGTTTACTGCCTTGTGCCATTTTGTGCATTCTCTCTGTGGCTTGTTAAACAACCCGACTGTTAGTACTGCAGTACTTTTTCAAGCTTTTCACAATGCAGATGTTCCAGTTGTGTCCCAACACTTTTTCTCCTGGAGTAGAACAAACTCATGTTAATCAATAAAGCATTGAAAATGTCACATGTGGTGTCATTCAAGTCATTGGGATTTGATTGGCTTTTTCAGTTCAAGCAAATGTTTGTTACCTGTCTTCCTAATGCTAACAGACCATGCATATTTCTCAAAATAACAGGAATGAAGCATCCTTTGCTGATTTATAGCAATATATCCGATACAGCCAATGTGATAAATTCCAAAGCATCAAAGCAGCAACATAAACATTTAAATGCCTCTGTTGGGCAGAAAAATCAAGCTCATAAAATTTAAACCTGCAAGAAAGCATTTTATCAAAAATGAATGCAATATTTGACTTGGATTATAGTTGTCATTCAGCAGCACATTATCGAGAAATGAAACAAATGTTCACACAGAAATGTAAAAGATTCATAACATTATTAGATTATCCTCTTATACCATCTGAATATCTTCTTTTTGGTACTAATCATTATATTCAAATATTTAATGCTTTTAATTCTCTGTGTATTGTTTTTAAATAGCTAATACCAGATGTTAAGTTAATACAACGCTCTATGTCTCTGTTACTAGTGCTAAATACAGGAGGCTGCAGGGACAATACTTTTTAAAGTAAGTATTTTTTTGGGGGGTTGCAGCGCACTCTGGAGAGATTTCACAGGTTTCAGTGATTTAAAGATGTAAAGAGTTAATGTCTCTGAAGGAGAACAGCATCCAAGGTCAAATGGTCATTGTCCGGTTAAAAGAGTCAAAGTTTTAACATGACGGTTACAAAGAGCTTGCATATTCAAGGCCACAGTTCATGATGATGTAAATGCAACAGTGCGGAAAACCTCCAGTCAAACTTTATGGTGGAAATATTCAGCTGTGGGGCTGTTTCAAGTGACTTGCACAGGATCAGCTACACACTTGCCAGAGAGAGAAATACCACTTTATTTTGCAGCAGCATGCTACCCCTTCTGGCTCAGTAATATGTGTGGAAGAGGATTCATTTTCCAGCAGGATATTGATCCTGAACATGCATGGAAGCTACTGTATACCAGGCCTGTTTGAAGTCCAAGGAAGAGCAAGCACTGCTGGCTTGTGTGGCTTTTCCCCTCCACAGTCACCAGACCTAAACTTTACTGAGGAAAAAAAAAAATGGCCAAAGTCCAAAAGTGAAAAGGGGAAACAGGAAAATCACAAGACGCTAATCTGGGATACTGTCAAAGGGTTGGTTCAGCCAAAAATTCAGTGACAAAATCATCAATTCTCCTGTGCTATCAGCCATGCATATAGTTCATGTTTTATTTTCCCTTTGAGCTATTACACCTTTTTTTTTTTTTTTTTTACAACACTGATTGTATGAAGTATTTATTTGGTAGAAAGTTCAAAGTCTATTTTAAACAGATGTAGGAACTTTTTTGGTGAGCTGGCCCTTTAAGTGGAGCTGGAATAAGGTTAAAGATATTACTAAGACAAACTGTAGGCGCCGAACATTAGGAAATGTTTACCCTTTGTAAAATATTAATATACTGACTGAATGTAGTTTTTTGTCTTCTCATGCCTTATAAGAAAAGCCCATGTTGATCCCCATATTGGACATTTCAGTGTTGCAGCAGCACAAAGACAGAAATGGTACAGATACATAGAGAAACATATAAAATTCAATTAAATAAAAAAGTACTTAAAATAAAGATAACAATAAAAGCTATTAAAGAGCAAGTAGACTCAAAATTACAATGCAAGCAGTATAGAAACTACTCACGACCAGAGCTGTACTTGAGCTGCAATTCTGTCTCAAGCAAAGTGACAGTAATGTGATTACTAGCAGCAAAGTACAGTTGGCTACTGTATATGTAATGTAATGGGATACCACCAACCATAGCAGTGCACAGCAGAATAGTCTGTATTACAGTGCTGGATATAAAGAAAAATATCGTTTGAGGTGAAATGTTTAGCATAGTGTATAATTTAGTATGAGCATAGTAGAGTTATTGTATTAAAAGAGTACTTGTGTAATAATAATAATAATGATAGTACTACTACTAACAATAATCATAAATATAGGATGACGTAAAATATAATAAACACAATATGCTTCATGTATTTGGTGTGCAGTATTTGTAAATTAAATTAATCGGAGACAATAGAGAGGAAGAGTGTGCCAGACACTGGGAATTGGTGTGTATGTGCATGTGGTGTGTGTGAGTTTCTGACAGTAGCCAGCTGTTTGCTTCCATTCTGTCTCACTCATCATGTTATTGTTCACACTGAGGCAACACTGTCCTGACATGTGATGGCCTAAACACATCTGGTTGTCTCTCCTCCTTCAACTAAGCAAGTTAAACCCAAAGTGGCATTATGTCTTATTAGTGCTTTAAGCTACTTGGTGTCACACATTTGATTAAATAACCGGACACACACACTTACAAGTGGCTGTGCGACCAGCTGTGTGTCGGCCCGTGCCAAAGTAGCTTACTTCAGGCTTAGCTGCCAACCTCTCGCTTTCCTCCTCGATCATTACTGGTTCCATCATCAGTGATGCAGCAGAGAGGCTACAGTCTATCTTGTTAGGGCAGATTAAGCACTAATATACAGGCAGTAAAGAAGCCTCTTCATCTAATACTGTACACACAGACTCCTGATCCTGTGCTTTCTGTCTCACAAGCCTGACATCTTAATCTTTATAAATACTGACTGCAGGAGATCCTGCAGTCGTGCCTCTGGCCTTGCCGAGTGCTCACTCTGTGGGTCATCATTAGTCCTATAAAGAGGCACCGGAGGAGTTTTTGGTCCTGAGCAAGACGCATCACTGAGCACATGGATTATTCTGATGCCATTGTGCACCCTAAAAATGACTGCTGTGAGGATTGCAGTCTGAGTTTGTGCCTCACTTTCAATTATAGTTGTCAAATACAAAAATAGAGAACACACACACACACAAGAAAAACACATACACTGAAATTTGATGTCTTCTCATAATAGCAATAATATTGTGGTCCTCCGGATTTTAATTACTTACCTCCAGCCTGCAAATTAAAATATAACATATGCTGTGTGTTCATATAAGAGGAGGGAACTTTGTAATCTTTGTATATGTTATCCTCTTTCTTTCACTGTTCAAAACAATGTTCACAATACCAACAAAAACATATTGTTAATGCAATGTAATCACTGGAATTGTTACCACACACACAAGTTGATTTTAAAAATGTTTTTTTCTTGTGTTTATCTCCAGTTATTTTTGAAAGGTACTATAAAGAAACATAGTGTAGGCTCTACTTATTCAGAGGCCTTTTAAAGCAGTTTAACATGCTATATGGATCAGAGGTTCTTGGATCACGTACCACCAGAGATTTATGTTAACATTGTAGTTAGAATCTGAGCTTTGTATCCACAGCGTACATGTCCTTGAGAGAGACTGACTCACTTGCTCCTGGAAAAAAAACCCAGCCTCTTCTGACCCACGAGTGAACACTTAAATGTTTCTCAAATACCAAGAGGCAGAAGGAACAAATTCCTCATCACTTTTAGAAATGCATCAGATCTGCAGTCCTGCAGCTCTCCACTGGAGGGCAGTGGTGCACTGTGGACACCAGCTGTGGATTTTTAGCAAAAGGAACATATTGCATTAGTCTTCTCCATATTCATACTAATGGAGCTGTTTGCTTTTGTTTAAGTAAGAAACTGCATCTTGCATGAGTTTATGCTTTGATCTGTCTGTGAGTCAATCAGAAACAGACAATCTGGTTCATTATAGTTGTTTTAAGAAAGGTGCAGCCTTTGTGGTTGTTATTAACAGGGGTGGTGCTAGGAATTCTGGGTCCCTTGAACATTAATTCACTTGGGATCCTGAATTAGAAATATAACATGATATCTTTGATTTATTCCTTGGCCCCCATGTTCATGTTAAGTTTTTATCTCCACTCAGCACGTCACGGCTGCTCGGTAGATTTGTTTTGGTAACTTTTAGGTGCAACAAAAACGGAAAAAACAAGGGCAATGGTGTTTGTGATTTTTATTTTGTAACCAAAGAAATTAAATAAATTTCATAAGGCGCTATGCAAAAAGCTGACTGTCCACTGAGTTTAAAAATAATCCAAATGAACAAGAATGAAACATGAAATGAAGAGTAAGAGATTTAAAAAAGCAAACAAATACCACGTATGTACCAAGTGAAACTTGATAAAACCATAATGATAGGTCGAAAGAAAGAAAGGAAAATAAAATCTACTAAGGCTGCAGCTATTTATTTTTTCATCAATAAATTGCTTTGTCAGTAAAAGTACTGTGAAAAATACCCATCACAGTTTTTCAGAGCCAAAGGTGTCATATTCAAAACACAAAGACAAGTGTATTATTATATACGACAAAGGAAGGCATAAAATCATCACTTGTGAGAGGCTTGAACCAGAAAATATTTGGTGTATAAGCTTGAACAATTACTGGACAGACATTCATACATGTTTCTAGTAACATTTTGGTTAAAATACACAAGGACGAACAGTGACAGTTTTGTATCTCGTGGTTAAACCAGCATTTATGCAGCATTCAGGTACGAGTAACTAACTGATATAGTGATTTATGAGAATATGTCCATTTAAGGAAAAGCTACATAACGCTTTTCTGAAAACGGACCTGGCAGTTTTTAGTGTCTGTTGCTGTTTTGTTTGTTTTTTTTGCCTCATGAGGGAGGACACAGTTATCTTTGTGTTTACCACTCCATCCCTCTTTCTGTAAATAACACATGTTCATGTATTCTGTATTTCAGGCACAGAAACACCTCTTTATTGTTCTTTTCTGCAGACCTGAAGGACTTTATTTCTCTGGGGGGGTTAAGTCCTGACCCTGCTCTGCTGCAATAAGCTGAGAGTGAAAAAGTGGTAGCAAAAGAAAAGAAAGAATGACAGAGGGAGGGCAGTTTGACCGCTGGAGGGAAAAGAATAAGAAGACCTTTAGTCCTTCAAGGTGTGGGTCTCTCCGCTAGTTCGGGAGGTCAGCAGCAGCAGCTGTCCTGCTTGACCGACTCTGATGAAGCTGCAGATTCTCGCCTTCATGAATCATCC